AATAATAATTCTCGTTTGACTAGAACTTCTTCATTCATAAAATAAAGCGTTACACGAAACATTAACTTTTAATGTTCGTGTCTAACGTTTTATTTCATTAATAAATGCACAAATATAATAATAAATATATATGTATTATAATTTTATTTCATTAATTTATTATTATTATTATTTCTAAATAATTATTGCTCGAAAAGAAAACAGTAAAGATAGAAGAATTTGAGAATATTATTACGTTGTGTACACATTATTAAAATTATTAAAATGATTAAAATTACTATAATGTTAAAGAAACTTACGTTCTTAATTGGATAATTGTTAAGTCATCGAATTGCAGTAAGCGGTCTTTGCGATGGAAGAAGTGTGTAAACGAAAGGAACAGCTATCGACCATTTATTTTCTCCCAACCCAACAGATGGGAACTATCGCCGTCGAATATAAGATCCCGGAATACCTTTATCTCGGCATTTGCCTATCGCCTGCTTTCTTTTCGCTTTCGACGTTTTACGTAAACCCCTCGGCGAGCGATCAAAATACACACACGCCGAGATCGATCATTTAAATCGAGTGCAATAGAGTGCCTCGAATTTCACCCGCGAACCGAGCGATATTACGTAAATTGAATTACGTTCTATGCGAGAACGCGTGAAGCTACAAAATTAGCTATTATAATTCACAGTTGAGCCGTATCGTGCCGAAGCGACAACAAAACTGTAAAATCGAGCCAGGTTCGTTCACGCTCGGGGAACGCGGAAGATCGTCATCGAACGGGATTACGTTATCGATACAGTAATGTCTCTCTAATTGACGCCCAGATTCACCACAAAAATGGATAATTTGGGAAGAGGAGATACGATTGCTCGAGCCTTGTGGTTTATTTTTGTAGTTATAAATTGCCCACAATTATAAAAATTAATAATCGTATTATATAAATATATATATTAATATTAATAATATATAATATATTATATTATTCGAGTCTTGTGGTTTATTTTTGTAGTTATAAATTGCCCACAATTATAAAAATTAATAATCGTATTATATAAATATATAATATAATATATTATATATTATTAATATTAATATATATATTTATATAATACGATTATTAATTTTTATAATTGTGGGCAATTTATAACTACAAAAATAAACCACAAGAATCGATAATATTAATATATATATTTATATAATACGATTATTAATTTTTATAATTGTGGGCAATTTATAACTACAAAAATAAACCACAAGGCTCGAATAATATAATATATTATATATTATTAATATTAATATATATATATATATATATATATATATATATATATATATATATATATATATATATATATATATATATATATATA